ATATTTCTGTCTTTGTGCCAGTACCATACTGTCTTGATGACTGTGGCTTTGTAGTAGAGCCTGAAGTCAGGCAGGTTGATTCCTCCAGTTCCATTCTTCTTTCTCAAGATTGCTTTGGCTATTTGGGTTTTTTTTTATTTCCATCCAAATTGTTAAATTATTTGTTCTAGTTCTGTGAAAAATACCATAGCTTGAAAATAAGTATACTACCCAAAGCAATCTATAGATTCAATGCAATCCCTATCAAGATACAAATGGTATTTTGACCTAAATTCTTAAACTGTTGTTCATTTGTTTGAAGTTCTAGTTAAGCAAAGCTTGTTCTATAGAGTCATTATAATTATGCTAACCAGATGATTAAATATTTAAAGAGTATATTATGTTCTTAGAGCTATTTTACTCATCCAGATTTTACTCTCAAAAATAAAATATTCTGATTATTCATTATTTTTTTCCATTTTTCAACTGATAATTTTGACATCTTGTAAATCAAATCAAAATTATATTAAATTTAACAGTATTTTAACCTTCCATAAAAAAATAATAAATATTAGAAAAATCACTCTCTCTTACCTATATCTGTTAGAAATTGTTGTGATCCTTTCACTGTTCAGGCTTTCTGAAGTAGAAAATAATCTAAGAGCTTTGCATTGACAATAACACAGGTGACAGTTCTTTGAACACTGTTGCATTTTGGAAGCTTTATTATCTAAGCTCAGGAAAATGTTATTTGCATACATAAATATAAATTATAATTATATTATATAAATTTGTTTTGAACACACGAGTTAACCAATTGTACAACTGTGTGCTTCTGCCAGAAGCAGAAGGAATGAAGGACTAAAGTTCCCCTGATAGTACCCACTGATTAACTTTTGGCCAAAGCTAAGCTGTTCTCCTGGGCATTGTGAATTTGGTCATGTATGAGAAATCCAGTTTGTTCCACGGGGCATCACAGTTTCTGAAATCATGAACATCAGTCATAGTAGACAGTTCTGGTTTTAACAATATAAATTACACTTTATGTCACCACTTTCAACCACAGATGACACTTCTGACATGTGTATGCAAACTCCGGTTTGTCAATAAATGTTGATGCTCTGAGTGCTTTGATCAGTATGGTCTTAGAATCTAGATTCCTGTCAAGACATGACCCCAAGTAAATATGTTCTCCTCAAACAAACTGTAGCTCATGTTCCAGACACATGCTTAACTCCCAACTTTATGCTGAAATATGGTGAGAAAGCCTTTTAAGCAAAGGTCTGGGGAAGGAGTAAATGAAAAACAAAAGACCACAATGAGAGGTGACCTGTATCAGTACTTCTCAAACTTTAATGCCTATGAGTCTCCTGGAGGTCTAGATAAATGCAAATTCTGTTTCAGTAGATCAGGGCTAGGACCTGAGCATCTTCATTTATAACAGGTGAAGCTTATGGACAGGTGCAGTCCACAGGACCTTCACCATTGGAGGGACTATCAGTTTATCAGAGAGCCTAGATAATTAGAGAAACACAACATAGTAATTGTAGCTGAAAAGAGGGATGCATGCAGAGCCAAATGGGATCAGGCAGGCAGCTTATGTGGGTAACACAGGAACGTGGAGGCCAGGTCAGAGACTTTGTTCTATATCCCAATGTAAAGGAAAACTATTATGGGATTTTGAAATGGTGGTATGATGATCAGATTTTCCTTTTTTGCATTAGCAGAGAAAGTTTTCAGTGTAATTCATTCAGATAAACAAAAGTTAACTGACTTATTTTTGATAATTTGATGTGCTATCTGAGTAACAAAGAAAATGCGTAACCTCCACTTGGGACTTGGATGGCTAGATGGGGGAAGCAAACAGCATCATAGACTTATTGATCTGCTTCCTTAGAATTTTGCTGGGGAAAGCCAAATAGAGGAGAAAAATATCATAGAAGAGAGGAATCATGTGAAAAATGCACAGAGGAATAGAGTGGGGAATGTGATGTGCAGTGGTAGCTTCAACACAACCAACACTTGGCTTCAGTATGATGTCCTCTTTAATTTTGGGTAATTACTTCCTAACTTATTTGGCTGTCTATCCTTGATCACAAATACCTGTATTACTGCTTCCAGTATGTGATGTTTTTTTCAATTTTAGTCATTTTGATAAGTATAGCTTGTTGCACTTTCATTTGCATTTCCCTAGTAACTAATTTTTATAGAGTGTCTTTTTGCATCTTTCTTTGACATCTCTATAACTTTTTTGATGGAGTGTTTGTTCAAATATCTTACCCATTTTAGGTTGATTTTATTTGTTTTTATTTTTTCTATTTATTTTTATTAGTTGGAGGCTAATTACTTTACAATATTGTAGTGGTTTTTGCCATACATTGACATGAATCAGCCATGGATTTACATGTGTTCCCCATCCCGATCCCCTCTCCCACCTCCCTCTCCACCTGATCCCTCTGGGTCTTCCCAGTGCACTAGCCCTGAGCACTTGTCTCATGCATCCAACCTGGGCTGGTGATCTGTTTCACCCTAGATAATATACATGTTTCAATGCTGTTCTCTTGAACCATCCCACCCTCGCCTTCTCCCA